AAAAAAAAAAAAAAAGAAGAAAGGTAGACAGGAGCCAAATCATTCAGGGGTTTAAAGCTGGGGTGCATATGACTCAGTTGACATTTTTAAACATCAAGTAAAACCCTTTCCCAGTCAGGGCTCAGATTTCTTCATCTATATCTCGAGGGGTTGGATTGACAATCCGTTGAACCTCTCTGAGGCCATCATGTATGGGGGGAGATCCCAAAAGCGCTGAGGCAGGAGCAAAAGGCATCAGCCTATTTCCATAAAAATAATGAAGAAGGAAGTAATTAGAAATATAACCGTAGTAGTTATTAGTTATTCATATGTGATCTTAGTTTTTCATAGGTGATCTCAATTCTTTTATTAATGCTTCTCAGGTCAGAAGTGTGAACCTGGGGTGACATTGTGAAATTAATGAGACCAAGGCAAGGTGCTCTAAGCCCCCTGTCACGTCCGCATAAGGGCTGCTGGAGGTCGCCTTGGCTGTGCGGTAGCACCAGCTCTGTGAAAGCGCCCGCTGTTTAGCCAGCTAGGGAAGGAGATGTCGAAAATGGCTGAGACATCTCCTTCCTGTGGAAGTTGGAGAAAACTCGGCTCCCCCAAGCTCTTGTGGTGAGGTCTGACGGCTGTCAGGTACACTCCACAGACATCCGGGGGCTTAACTGTCTCTATGTGATGCTGTGCTTCAGTGGTCACGTTCCATGTTTACTCTTATGTTCTACTTCTGCACCTGGTTCCTTTTGTCTTAGAAAAGATAATAATAGTAATATAAATCTTAATGTTTTAGTTCTTTCCTGATAAGTGTGGAAAAGGTGCTAATGCATTATGCTCCTTACCTCACTTCGGGTGCCAGAAATCCCTGAGCCCCTACCTGAATGACACGTGATGTTCTTGACCCTATCACTGCCACGCACTATCTACCCTGCCCCCAGTCACCGACCACCAAGGCCATGCCCTACCTACCCTACGCCCAGATTTGCAACTCAATAAAAGTGAGACATCCTGGCATTCAGGGCCACTGCTGGTCTCCGAGATCTGGGTAGCAGTGGATCCCTGGGCCCAAACTCTCTTTTCTCTATCTCTGTGTCTTGTGTCTTTTATTTCTACAATTTCTTGTCTCCCCACCAGCCAGGAGCGGCTCACAGAACCCTGTAGGGCTGGACCATACATCTGGCGCCCAACGTGGCAGTGGACCCTACAATCATGAGCTGTAGGACAGAATGTAATAAAATATTTGCACGATGACACTGTGAAATGTCACAATGACATGGCACTCGGGGAAGGATTTCAGAGGGCTGAAAATTTCATTTCACAACGTCATTGTGAAATGAAATCTCTCAAGGGCAGTGGGTTTTGTTTGTTTTTACCTTTCAAGTTGGAAGGGGAATGTGTCAAGGTTTGAGAGAGGCATGTCTCACATATGAACAGGAAAACTCAATCATCATGCTTACCAAGAACAAAGGGATCAAGGGCAGTGGTTCTAAAGAAGAATCACCCTACTGTAAAATGTAGATTCCCTGGCTAAACTTCCAGGGCGTATGCCTCCTTGGTGTGAGGCAGGGCTGGGGAACTGGCAGGGTTTTTTTTTGTTGTTGTTTTGTTTTTTAAGACAGAATCTCACCCTGCTCACTCTGTCACCCAGGATGGAGTGTAGTGATGTCGGCTCACTGCAACCTCTGCCTCCTGGGTTCAAGCAATTCTCCTGCCTCACCTTCCTGAGTAGCTGGGACTATGGGCATGTGCCACCATGCCCAGCTAATTTTTGTATTTTTAGTAGAGATGGGGTTTTGCCATGTTGGCCAGGCTGGTCTCAAACTCCTGACCTCAAGTGATCCACCCACCTCAGCTTCCCAGAGTGCTGAGATTTCAGGCATGAGCCCCTGAACCCGACCCAGAACCGGCATTTTTAACAAGCATTCAAAGACATCTGATGCTAGCCGTTTGCTTGCCACGCCTTGAGCAATGCTACTCTAGAACAAGTCCTTGGAGGTGCAGGATGACAGGTTTAATTGAGATAAAACCACAAATCAATTCCCCTTTTCCCCCTTGTCAGGGAGAAAGTATCAATTTGGTGTTGATATGTTTTTAGCACCCCTTTAGCATTAGATAATCTTCTGGAACAGGGAGCTGGCTGCAGGCAATAGAATCTACCTGGAATTGAATTACACTGTTCGGTTCGGTTTTCATTGCAATCTCCTTTATTCTTACCTTCTACTATGGGAAATGAAAGGAATTTTCCATTTACAATAGTGATACAAAGTTTCCTTTAAAATAGATTCACTTAAATTTATAAGTATCCAAGGAGGTATTTTAGGATGCAATAAAGCATTTTCACTTTTTCCTAGACTCACTGAATTTGGGCACATGGATACTTGCAATATTGATTTGTATTATGAGAGTGATCTATAAATAAAAAAATTTGACCTATTTGAAAATGTGTGGGTCTTCCCTATGATTCACAGAAGTCTAAAATTCAATCTAGTGATGGATAAGAATTAAGAATGGATGGTTTGGGCAAAGGCCATTAACAGACATTGCTCCAAAGGTGATACATAATGGCCAACAAGCATATTGAAAGGTGCTTAACACTACCAATTATTAGGGAAATGCAGATTAAAACCACAATGAGATACCATTTCAGGCCCATTAAAATGGATACTATCAAATACATAGAAAATAACAAGCATTGGTGGACAAACTGGAACTCTCCTCCAGCACTGCTGATGGGAATGTAAAATGTTGCAACCATTGTGGAAAATAGGATGGCAGTTCCTGAAAAAATTTAATATACAGGTGGGGTGCAGTGGCTCACACCTGTAATCCCAGCACTTGGGAGGCCAAGGGGGGTGGATCACCTGAGGTCAGCCTGACCAATATGGTGAAACCCCGTCTCTACTAAAAATTAGCTGGGCATGGTGGCAGGCACCTGTAATCCCAGCTACTTAGGAGGCTGAGGCAGGAGAATCACTTAAAGCTGGGAAGCGGAAGTTGCAGTGAGTTCAGATCACGCCACTGCACTCCAGCCTGGGTGACAGAGTGAGACTGGTATCAAAACAAAACAAAAAAATTAAACATACAGTTACCATATAATCCAGCAATTCTATTACTAGGTATATACACTAAAGAATTGAAAGTAGGAACTGGAACGTGCAATATTTGGTTTTCTGTCCCTGCGTTAATTTACTAAGGATAATGGCCTTCAGCTCCATCTATGTTCCGACAAAGGACATGATCTCATTCTTTTTTAAGGCTGCACAGCATTCCATAGTGTATAAATACCACGTGATAAGTCACTCTCACTTCAGTTGGCTTTCATGAAACACTATGACAGACTACGATGGGACAAAGTGTCAGCATCGTGGGATACGATGTCTGTCAACATAGTTCTCTTCCCTCCTATTGGCTGATCTTTGCTGTTTCCACTCCTTTGCGTGACTTCAGAGGAGGACCTTGGGGCACAGCTTGCTCCTCTTCTCTTCTTCACTTAAAGGATATTCTCTGCCTAGTGATCTCCACCAGCCTGCCGTGTAGATGCACCTGCGTGCTTGTGACTCGAAGATGTACACCCTGCACCCCTGAACTCTAGGCATGGATGTAGCTTCTCCACTTGAATGTCTAATGGTCACCTCTAACTTAGCATTTCCAGACCAGAAACCCTAAATCTGTTATTCCCCCAAAGCCAAAATCCGTAACTTCCCCTTGACGTTTCTCCCTCTAATCCCTCCCTCACTGCGCTCTTGCCTTTCCCTCCTCCAACATGCCAAGCTTTTCCTAACTGCGGGGCCACTGCAGGAACAGCTTCCTCTGCACGAAACTCTCTTTCCCGGATAGATCCTTTCACCTCCTCTGAGCCTCTGAGGGCCTCCCTTCCCACCTCTGCTTTTCAGTTCTTCACATCAGTCTGTTTCATTTCCTTCATTGCACTTATTATCATCTGAAATTATGTATTTGTTTACTTATTTTCTCTCACACTTGATTATTTATTTATTTGAGATGGAGTGTCACTCTGTTGCCCAAGCTGGAGTGCAATGGCACAATTTCAACTCACTGCAACCTCCACCTCCTGAGTTCCAGCGATTCTCCTGCCTCAGTCCCCTGAGAGCCTGCCACCACGCCTGGCTAATTTTTTGTATTTTTAGTAGAAACTGGGTTTCACTATGTCGGCCAGGCTGGTCTCAAACTCCCGACCTCAGGTGATCCGCCCACCTTAGCCTCCCAAAGTGCTGGGATTACAGGTGTGAGCAACTGCGTCCGGCCTCATGCTTGACGTTTAATCTCCATGGGAGCAAACATTAGGTCTTGCCCAGGTCTTTATCCACAGCAGTGAACATAGCACCTGGCACAGAGGTAGTTCCCAACATTAATTATTGAATGAAATAAAATAATGAATGTATGCCCAAAAAGAGTTGTGGGAAGTGGGGTAATGTCCCTGCATGGACTTCTAAGGCTAAGAAGGAAAACAAACAACATAAGTGCTGGGCACAAATCAGAGGCTGGCACCCCAACTGGAGCCCAGCTCTGGCTCTCTCTCCTGGCACCATCACTGAAAGGTTCAGTTCCCAAAACCTCAGGGTATTCTTGGTCCTTCCTGTTCCCAGCGCTGCAAATCCCCCATCCCTCGCCGCCCCCACCTTAGTTCCAAGTTCCAGCCTCTCTGCCCCACCCCTGAAGCAGGCGTGCTTTTTAGAGGAGCTCCTGGGCTCTATGAATACTTGGAGTCCGTGGCAGAAACCAGGGTTGGGGCAGGGCGTGTCCCAGGAGTGAGCCCAGCTCTGCAGTCCTGTGCAGGGTAGAGAGCTATACTTGGGCTGGCACCATGGCCGAGTTCAGGGTCAGGGTGTCCACAGGGAAGGCCTTCGGGGCTGGCACATGGAATAAAGTGTCTGTCAGCATCGTGGGGACCCAGGGAGAGAGCCCCCGGCTGCCCCTGGACCATCTCGGCAAGGAGTTCAACGCTGGCGCTGTGAGTGCATGGGAGTGGGTGGGAGTGGAGGTGAAGGGGGTGAGCAGGAGGGTCTGGCCCGATGCATACTAAACCTCCCCAGGAGGAAGACTTCCAGGTGATGCTCCCAGAGGATGTGGGTCCAGTGCTGCTGCTGCGCGTGCACAAAATGCCCCCAGCGCTGCCCTGCCTGCCCTGGCCCCTGGCCCAGGATGCCTGGTTCTGTCGCTGGTTCCAGTTGACACCACCGCAGGGCAGCCCCTTCCTCTTCCCCTGCTACCAGTGGCTGGAGGGGGCGGGGAGCCTGGTGCTGCGGGAGGGAACAGGTGAGGCGGAGCCAGGCTGGGGCTGCAGGGGGAGCACAGGAAGGGGCAGGGGACTGGGGTTGGGGAAGGTAGGTGAAGTGGAGAGGTGAGCTGCTGGGGCCATGGAGTAGGGGGCAGAGGAGGGGGCTGGCAGGATCTTGGGAGGGGGAGGTGGCAGCCTGGTGTAGCAGAAACTGCTTATGAAAGAAGGGGACCTGGTAGAGCACGGCAATAGTGGAGAGGACATGGCTGGGGGTAGTGATGGGGAGTTTCTCTCCCCTCCCCAACCTACTCCGCTTCTCCCACAGCCAAGGTGTCCTGGGCAGACAACCACCCCCTGCTCCAGCAACAGCGCCAGGAGGAGCTGCAGGCCCGGCAGGAGATGTACCAGTGAGGAGGGGGTTGCTGTTGGAGGAGGGGGTGCCCAAGGGATGAGGGGCAGCTGGAGTGTCCTGGTCATGACACAGACTAAAGCCCCTGCCCCTACCTCTCCTATCAAAGCTGCTCCTAGGACAAGCAGCATCTGCAGGAATGTATTAGAAATCCAAATTTCTGGCCGGGCGCGGTGGCTCACGCCTGTAATCCCAACACTTTGGGAGGCCGAGGTGGGTGAATCACGAGGTCAGGAGTTCAAGACCAGCTTACCCAACATGGTGAAACCTCATCTGTACTAAAAATACAAAAAAATTAGCTGGGCGTGGTGGCACATGCCTGTAATCCCAGCTATTCAGGAGGCTGAAGCAGAAGAATTGCCTGAACCTGGGAGGTGGAGGCTGCAGTGAG